AAACTGTGTTGGGAAACCGAGCATCGGGAAGCTTTTGACAGGGTCAAAGACAGCCCCCGACATGTACCAATACTGGTGTTGCCAGACCCCAATTATCCTTTAAGTGTCGCCTATGACGCTTCGGACTTTGCCATCGACTGTGCACTGCTGCAAGCAGACGCCGAGGGGCGTGATCGGGTGATCGCGCTCAAATCTCGCCAGCTTAAAGCTGCGGAGAGAAACTCCCCAGTCTACGATAAGAAATTACTTGCGATAAAGTATGCACTTGTCAAGGTCAGACTACACCTACTGGGCTCAAAGTCGTTTTTGATCTACCCAGATCATGCGTCACTACGAACTGCAACTCAGTCGCCTCACCTCTCGCAGAGGATATACAGGTGGCTCTCATTCTTTGTAGAATAGAACTTCGAGAAAAAGTATATGCCCAGAAAGCAGAGTGCTTTGGCTGTGTGTTGTCACGCAGATCTGACTATGAGCTTGTTCATGGCACGACGGTGACGTCGTCTGTGTCAGATTTCATCCGCACCGCATACGCGGCTTATAGTATGTGCGTAGCGCTGCTACGGGTTCTTGGGAGCAATGAGTTTGGAAACTCGGACGATACATTGTCGGTGCGTTCGCGCGCACAATTACGCCAATATTTGTTGAGTGACGAGTTGCTGCATTATAGCACCAGTTCGAGGATTTGCCACGATTTTTTGTTTCTCACGATGGACAATAAAAATGTTTTATCCTCTTTGAGGCCCACGAGCGGTCATCTCGGTCATGAAAGAACGTACAGCTCGGTGAGTCGCCACGATTGGTGGCCCAAGCTGTTCAAGTGGACGAGCACATATGTACGCACGTTTGAGACGTGTTAAAAGGTGAAACCCTCTCAGAATGCGGCGGCGCCGCTGTCCAGTTTACTGGTACCCTCCGGGCGCTGGCGGTCCATGAGTATGGACTTTGTGATTGACCTGCTGAAGGAGGGGGCAGGCAACACGGGTCTAGTAGTCTGTGTGGACCGTTTTAGCAAGATGTCTCATCTTGCGGCAGGGCCGGACACCATCGACGGTGTGAATACAGCGACGCTGCTAATCGATCATGTCTTTTGACAGCATGGACTCCCGGAAGTAACCGACTCTGATATGACCCGCGCTTCACTAGGAACGTTTGGTCATCGATCTTCAGCGTCCTGGAACCAAGTTGACTATGGCATCAGCGGACCATCCGCAGACTGATGGTCAGACTAAGCGCGTGAATCGCGTCGTCGAAGACATTGCTCGCAGCGTCTGCGCTGAGACGCTGAAACGCTGGAGCGCTATGTTGCCACTCATAGACATTGCTCCGAACAATGCAGTGCATTCATCTATTGGCTATACGCCGTTCTACGTGAACAGGCTTTTTTTTCCTCGCGTCCTGCTGACGCCGCAATCCCATGTCTCAGGGCTTGGTTGGGTAGGAGTAGCTGAACGACTAGCTGATGTCGCCCCCTCACCGTGCGTAAAAACGCGGAAGACTACCTGTCTACTAGACTGAGTGTCTAACGACACATTCGCGATGCAATGGCTAAAGCCAAGACATGCAGAAGAAATATGCAGACGCAAAAGGAAGAAGAAGAAATGTTGAAAACATTGAGTTCAGAGACCTGGTTTCATTAAACGCTAATAACTTCCCTACACATACAGTGTCTGCTGTCTTTAAGAAGAAGCTCCGTCCACGGTATATTGGCCTATTCAAGGTCGTGGTCAGGCGAGGCTAATATATATGCTGAACCCGTCGAGAAGGATGTGCACCTACCCGGTTCTCTATGTGTGCTTCCTTAAGCCGTAATGGGATCCGGCGCAAGTGAACGCGAAAGCGTTGGCGCTGGGGCGGGGTTCGAAGACACTCAGCCACCCAGAATCTAACCAGCAACTGTTTCTGAGCACGAAGTGCAACAATTTCCGTTTTCAACGGCACAAGGCGCTCCACCGTCGCACGAAGTGGCGTCTCCGTCTACTCCCGACGGCTGGGAGCCGCTCCAATAGAGTGTAATAGTCCTTAACGTGAGGCAGTCGGTGCACAAAGTGCTCCAAGCTCTCGAAATCTTCCGCACAGCGTTATGCGACCTCGGCAAGATGCTTGGCGGAGTGCCGATGACGACGGACATTGTCCTCAAAAGCTCAAAGAGCATTGCGAGTCAGTGGACAACGATCGATCAAGCCGTCATCGTCCGCCGCCGACTCTTCTCGATAAGAAAGGTGGCGTCCACTACCACATGGAACGCCTTGTGGGTTGACGTCGTGGACGGGGTTTGATCCAGTATCTTGTAAAATGGCACGGACACCCAAAATCCAAGGGCTCGTGGGAGTTTGCTGTGCCACTTCGGCAAGACTGCACAGACGTCGTGGACCCTTCTGATTAGAAGGATCATGTGGCTTCGCGTCGTCGTGCGCCCCGCGCTTCTCGGCGATAGCCCGGGAAGCCGAAGGGCCATGGGCTGAGCTTGAGCTATGGCCTTGAGCTGCTGTGGTCATAGACTCACTCGTGCGAGAAACCAGTGAGTTTGCGAGAACGTGATAAATTATTCCATGTGTCACAGGGCGACAATACGCAGGAAGTCGGCGTTGTGCTTTTTGTTTGGCAAAATGAAATCGAAGATGGCGTCTTACGCGCACGTCAACTTTCTCTCGGTTCCGCTGTAAGGTAGACAGCAAGGAAAGTTTCCGGTGCCGCTGCACCCATCGCTCGAAGCTCTTCATCAACTGCAGCGGTTTCGCCTGAGGCGAGCACCGCAGGAGTCATCTGCATTGCGGGCAAGGAGCGTCTCCTCTTTGAGCTCGAAGTCGAGCGCGGTACCTATCCATTGGGATCTCGTGCGGTATCAAGAAGCGAGCTCGGAGAGCTTCCCGCTGGTCAAGCTCTGCTTGTGTAGTGACCGAGGGCTCGAGAATGTAGACGTCTAACGATCGAGCGATCGCGTCTTTTGCTTCAGTAGCTGGGTCTGTCGAGCGGAAGCCGTACTCCACACGAGGGTCTAGGCCCGAACATGGACGAGCGCATGAGGGCCGCCGTACGGGCAGCTTCCAATTGCTGATCCTGTGTCTCGTCAAAACGATTGGTAATAATAATACTTCCCCCGGAAGTCGAGAGGTCGGGGAACGACTACGGTGTCCGCAAGGCTAGAGCTGGGCTCACGTTGCGCCGTTGGTTCACCTCGCCCTACTTCTCTTCTCATGCCGAGAAAGCAGTGTTCGACTCGCAGTCGACTTCCTCTGAATCCTCGACTAAAAATTTGTCGCCTGGGGCGGGCGCGTTTCGAGGCGCTCAGTTACTAAGGGCTTGGGATGTGCTGCCCATAAACCCGCGGACGTACTGTCCGGAGATGCACCCCGTTCAGAAGAAGCGGTAGGGCTCTGTCTGCGGTCACCCTCGGAATCAGCTAGGCTGAGTCGTTTCGTGTCAAAGACAAAAGGCTCATTGAGCGGAGAATGTTTAAAGATAGTCGTCGGGACGTAACGGTGTCCCAGACACGCGAGCATCGTATGAGGCAACAGTTACATGTGAATTGTGGGTATCACAAATTTGATGGGGAAGAGTGTAACGGTGTAACACGTGCTCTTGTATGAAAGGGTGGGTCACTCAAGATGGTGTTACACAAGTTGGTGTAATCACACAATGGTATGGCTACATTGTAAAAAGAAGCCACTACGTGTGGCAGGACTGCCAATTTATGCATACTAACTAGGTTTTACTATATTAATTAACAAAACCCAAGGATTTAAATATAGGCGACACTACCGTAATTGAAACAATTAGACACAGTTTCAATTTTAGACAAAGGAGTACATTTGCCTTTGTTAATGTTTTTTGGTACTTTTGGAGGTAGTGGATTGCGATCCGCTACACTCGTACTGGTTCGGTATAGAGCATAAGGTGGGCGACCTTAGTGAGCTTCCTCTAAGCAAAGAGCTACGGCAGCCCCGCCACCAGTGGCGAGTGATTGCAAGAAATGTGTCGAGTTGGGTGAGAGAAAGCATACACGGACGTTGGCAAGCTCGATCCTATCGTGGGACGACGCGTGGCCCACCGACAGCAGCACTCTCTCGCTGAGCATCTTGATATTGAAGTGTTGGAGCCATTCCAAAAAGACAACGCGCGTCATCCAAGACTTCTTGTTCGCGTAGAGTTGGACATTAAGGCGCTCTCTGTTCACTCCGCAAAATAGCGAGACTTCTTGCTGCTGTGGATGAAGACGGGATCCACCTTCTCGGTACTTGCCATATTGCAGCACAGACCGACAGTAATACGCGCTTTATCCTTCTCAATCCCACGGATGTTGCAAGTTGCGACAGACTGGTCTTATGGAGCTTGAAGATATCCTGCGGTTCATACTATTCAATCATAGCCTATAATTCGCAGCGCTTGAAGTTGACCGTGGCGAGATCCACTGACCCAGATTTGCCTTGTGAAGTGAGAAACGAATGCTGTAATGCCGCTTGAACTTCTGCGCCCATGACTACGAGACGTCTTGCAGATGGAGAAGCTTGTTTGCGTTCTTAATTGCTAGGCTTGATGCAGCTGCACAAACTCTAGCAAGAGCAGCTACATGTCTGGGAATCGGGGCTGGTGTTGGCGTTCGCGTTCATTTTAAATAGGACTAGGGGTGGCGCTGAGACGACGCAGGTTACCATCGAACGACCAATGGTCTTGCGGAACTCGGGGAGTACCCATGAAGCGAGATACTGGTGACGGAGACGAGGGTTTGCCTTCGCGTATGCATCCAGCTCGTGCTTCTGTCTGTATGTCGACCTTGTGCGCGTCATTCTGCCAATGAAAGTGATTTGCAAGTCAAATTCATGCTCTTGTAATTACATCTAATCATTGCTCTTGGAACCATATCGTGCAGCCGTTTTGCTTTTCTTGGAATTTTTGTATAATGATTTTGCTACGGATGTCTCTAGAATCTGCTCTTAAGCAAGTTTAGTTGTACAATTATATTAAAAAAATGAAATATAATATTATATATATCTAGATTGTCACCATGGCGTAGTATCGTCATTGATCGGTTTGTTCGCGGACTTTCGAGCGTTCGAAATATATCCAGCCAACCAAACATCGTTGTTTTTGTCACGATTATTGATTATAGTGTTGCCATACTGATAGCGATTACATGGATAACCCCCACCGTGCTTCATCGTAATATCATTGCCTCGATAGCCTTGTGGTCCGCGATAGAGTGGTGGACAATCCATACAGGCACTTATTGAAGTAACTCCTTCATTCATCGAATATTTGCCGTTTGGACATGGTCCCGAACACTGACTACTTGTAAGTCCAGTACTTGATCCAAAAACGCCAGCAGGACATAATTTACAGTCTAAGATGCTCTTCGCGCCAAGTTTATCGTTAAAGGTCCCTTTTGGACACTTTGCCGTACAGCTTTTCGATTCTAAACCAGGACTATCACCATAAACACCACGAGGACAAAACTCGCACTCGCCAATAGTTATGCCAACCCCACTTGGACGATACATTCCGCGTGGACAGTTTTTATTTCCTGGTTGCACACCAAGGTACAAGCGCACTAAAGAATGGAAGTGAATATCATGTTAGTTTCTATCATCAATTAAATGCATCACATACGTACATTGGACAGGTTCATACGGTGGTCCATCAACTCTCAAGTGCGATTCATGATGTAAAGAAGTTTTCTCTTCAAATGCTGAATAATGAAAGCATTAAAATGAATACAAAACTAACATTCTGTCGTACATACCAATGAGCAACACACTTAATAGGCACGAGGTGCAAACGACAGCCAAGATTCGATCGAAAAATCGATTATCGGTGTCCATTTCAATCATTGACTTCAGATAAAACGACTGCCTTTTATAACTGGCAATACATTAATAGCATTTTCATCTTTTCTAAGATTTAGTGCTGAGGACATTGTTGCTCTAATTAATTAGCGCACTTGCGTCTGTATGGTTAGAAATGTATTTTGTATGCGGTTTACTATAAGGTCCATCAATACTTGTCTGATGGATTCTTCACATATTATGACTACAATAGTAACAAAACACAACAAGAAACAAACATGTTTCTTGTTGCTAGATACTTTAACGAACTTTCTTTCGAACATGATACCTGGTTTACGATCGGTAACGGAATTCATCGGAAAGATATAAGCAGCATGAGGTAATTCAAATGGATTTAAAGATACGTTGATGGACGGTAATCAGTTTTCATGCTCATAAATTTCGATTTTTACCAAGATATATGAGTTTTGGCTAAATGTGATGGACTTAAATCAATGTTCCTTACCACACGCATATGATATCCGGTCAAAAACGTAACGCATCAACTTGACAAGATTGGACGCCCTCAGATAAATTGTCACAAACATGTCGTCCACACGAGCAAATTATATATTTAATAGTGTAAATATCTAAGACAATAACTAAATAACTTAAGACACAACAAAATATTCTATCGACACCTCAAGAAACTGAAATACTATCTTACTAAACATCATTGAAGAATGCTATTAAAATGAAGCTTAATTTTCCTAATCACAACGTCTGACTACTTCGAGTCTACAAAGTCGTAGCATTCATTCAATCATCTGCTCACTCCTGCCCACTCACCTGCTTCTGCACTATTAAAAATGATCTCAACTATGCGTCTACCACGCGCTATCAAGCAAGCTGTCCGCACTTGTTCGCACTATACAAGACCCAGTCGCATCCTCGTAACTGGTGGCACGGGTCAAATTGGTATGGAACTTGTGCCTTACATGCGACAATTCTTTGGTGCCGATGTGATCGTCAATTCGGACATTAAAGCACCTACTGGTCCTCGTGACAATTATTTTGTTTACTGTGATGTACAAGACCGCAATTCTATGGCACGTATCGTAGTGGAGCAAGGTGTTGATACGATCGTGCACATGGCATCGCTATTGTCTGCTTTAGGAGAAGCCAATCCTTCGCTTGCTTTGTCAGTAAACACACAAGGTATTCAGAATGTTCTCGAGCTGGCTAAACAATATCAATTACGAGTCTTTGCACCTTCAACTATTGCAGTCTTTGGTCCATCCACACCAAAAGATGAGACTCCAGATACGACGATTATGCGTCCTACGACCATGTATGGACTCACAAAGGTCCACGTGGAATTACTGGGAGAGTATTACCATAATAAATTTGGTGTTGATTTTCGTTCAATACGATACCCAGGCGTAATCTCATCAGAGGCGCTCCCTGGTGGTGGTACGACGGACTATGCCGTCGAGATATTCTACGAAGCCCTTAGACATGGCAAATATACATGTTTTCTTGAACCCGATGCTAAGCTCCCTATGATGTACATGCCAGACTGTTTGAACGCTACTGTCGGTTTAATTAACGCACCAAATGATTGTCTCTCGCAACGGACATACAACATTACGGCAGTCTCGTTTGCCCCTCAAGACATTGTCGCGTCAATTCAAAAGATCATGCCAAGTTTCCAATGTGATTACAAGCCCGACTTTCGTCAACAGATCGCTCAGACGTGGCCGCGCTCAATTGACGATAGTATTGCTCGCAAGGATTGGAATTGGCAACATACTTTTGATTTGGACACCATGGTGGAGGATATGCTCATCAAACTTGATGCTAAGCTTTCGAAACCGGATGTTGTGGTTGAGGAGATGGCGTAAAAGCGATAGGAAAGATGGAGTAGGAGACTGTCGCTACTGATTGATGAAGGAATAGGATACGTGAGAGGAATGTAAGAGAAGGAGAGTGTCGTCGGTTTATATACTAGTGTAGTGGCCATCGATTGTGCTAATGACTTCGTTTTCATCAATTCTACCATACGAGCAGCAGAGAGGTCTTCATTCATTGCGTCAATTTACCCCACACATCCACTTAAACAACAAGATTATGCTTCAAAGTTGCCATGCCAATATTCACCATTTTCAAACTGCTAATTGTTTCACTTAGCTACACTGCACTTACATCTCGATCGATGAATGTCGTCTCTTCTTTTAGCGCTTTTTTTTCTACATGGTGGCATTAAAAACAGGATTATGACGTGCAATGCGTGGACCTTCTTCATCGTATTGCGCCTTGGTGTGGCAAACGCGATAAAAGTCAGGAGTTGACGCCACCATGCTTCCACCAAACCACACAGCAAAACGTTGCATGCGATGCGAAAGAACATTCACCTCAAGCGCTTCAGCATGCGCTTTTTGGAATTTTGAATGCAGTGCAAGATTTGCAGCCTGTCGATCGTCGGCAAGTCGCTTAATATCGCGCTGAAGACGGCGACCAAAGTCTTTAAACATCGTACTTCCACCAGACAAAACAATGTTTTTGTATAGACCACGTCGTGTGTCAATTGGGCACTTTAAAATGGCTTCATCCACCACATTAGGCAATGGAGTCGTAAAATCGGTCGAAAAAATCTCGGGATTAAAGAAAATTTCAGGGGCCAAGAATCGCTCGTAACCAACATCAATTTCCCACGGCTGTTTTGTACGTGGATGTAGATCTGAGAACTTTAAAAAGTATTTGTCGGGCTTCGCATCATACTTTTTAAATTCTTTCACAAGGTCCGAACAGACGTAACTGTGCGCCTCTTTAACACGCTTCGCAACGTCTAACGATTCCTCTGGTGGCACAGCTTCACCTCGATCGCGCAACATCTTTTGAATAAAGTGAGTAACATCGCGTCCTGCCAACGGAATGTGGCGGATACAACTACCAATGACGTAGCCATCGGCTACAGGAATAACGTGCGTCACACCATCGCCCGAATCGATGACTGTTCCAGTCAGCGAGCGTTGTGATGGATCTTTGATCTTCGGCCAAGATGCGTAAAGCGCTAGCACAGCTTGGACGGCAATGTAAAGACCAGGTACGTTAAAGGTCTCAAACATGATCTCTGCTGTGGCCTCACGATTCTCAGGTGGATTTAAAGGCGGTTCTGTGAGTAGCATATAATGCTCTTCTGGCTCACAGCGCATGTGTTGAAATATACAGCGCTGCCAAAGCTTCTCCATATTGTCCCAGTTCTGAACAATACCTTGTGCGATAGGATAATTCACCTTGTGAGTGGACGCATGGTCGATTGCTTCATTACCAATGTAGAAATCTAGATCGTCGATGCCTTGACGGCTTCGTACAGTAGTTGTGTCACTACCACCCACTGCGATGGTGGACGGGATGATATAGCTTGGCTCTGCGTTGCCAGCGTATCCCATCTTGGTGTAACTGAGAAACACATTGTAACGAATGAATATCAATCACAAAGTAAGGCATGAAGGGAAACGTACCCTGTGCCATTGTCAATCACCACCGCGGGCTTAAGCGACGCCATCAGATAAGGAGGAAGAGGACGAAGCTTTGCTGATTATGGTGCACCTCCCTTCCTTTTTTCACGTTGTCGCTAACTCTGACACATCATTGTCACATAACTTGATAAAGAACATGAGTGTTACATAATTTAACGACCTATTGTAACCTAAAATTAATAAAACCTGATGTGCGAAGTAGAATTTATGCTTGTATCACAAAATAGCATTTATTATGCGTTTGTATCCTCTTTTCACAAAAAAACAATTTCGGCAGCTTCGAGCGGTAAATATTATAGATCTTTGGTCTGCGTAAACGTCAAAGTGCTTCAACGATAGAAGTTTCTAAGGTTATTGAAAGAGGCAAAATCGTTACTAACTTCACGGAACACAAATTCTCAAAATAAAGTTTCCAGCATATACGTTTTTATGCCAAGGAGCTGCCATGCGCGTACGCAAAGGGACGTTGATTCTAAAAGATTGCGTTAACAAACGCACGGAAGATGAACGCCACACCGATAGCCCCTCACATTTCCAGTTCAAAATCTGCTCTAAATTGACAGGTGAAATATTTAAAATTAAGTCTAGTAATAGTAGTATAATTCTAGTATAATTCTTAATATATCTGTATTTAATATGTGAGCCCAAAACTTCGAGTACTACTTTATCATCGTTCATCTATTTGATACTTTGAGCTATGCTTTGAGCCCGATTGTACGTTCATTATCGTGGCAAAGATGTTTAGATCAAACCCCAGAGAGCGAATGGTATGCGACAAGCATGACCATTGATCAGGATATCCTGCACTTAGGATGGTCTGTGATCGGTAAATTTTTGAGCAATGTGACAAAGATGGTCTGCGAATGTGAACAGGACAGTCTATTACCAAAATTCCACTTTGCTGTCTATCTAAATGCATGGCTTGACGATACATCTAGAAAAAATTGTTTTCTGCGGCAACACTTGTAGTGCATCATGCGGCGGTGTTCTCAAAACAGAAAATGAGATCCGTAGGCTTGTCATCGAAATCCTTGCATTCGGGGCTCTGCGGATGTCGTATAAAAATTCATCCATGACGAAATGTGAGCACAGCTCCTCCAATATCAATCATAACAATTTGACAGCTTCACCACCGTTTCGCATCTCCTTTATTCAAGCTAGATGTGAGCCTTTGCATGGGATTGTGAAAAGAATGCTTCAAACTGTCATGTTGTATTATTGGACAGCACAGGTCACAACTTTCACTTTGATTAGAGTCTTTGCCATAACCCCCTGAACTCCACTATTTCGCGCACTAGGTTTTACGCGTTTAACCTCTCTCTGCTTGTTAGTGCAAGTATATTCAACTTTATTTGATTAATGACTTAATTTGGCTGTGTTTGCTTGTCATCACACACCGGCCATCAGCACCAATTTATGTATCAATCCAAAACTTGAGGTTACCAGCTATAGGAATGTTCACCGCTCAGTAGACTCATTGTTCGACATTCGCAAGGACAAATGATTTAAAAGGGTGTGTCTTTCGAGCCTAGATTGCCGATATAGGACTCGCGATCTGCACCTCTCATACCGGCGGCAACGCAAAGCAAATTCTGTTTGCCGCATCGAACCACTAAGTTTTAAATTCATGGAGCACGACCTGCAAAACTAACCGCACGAAACTCGCGGTGGACATCGTTGTGGATCGCGCTGTCATGAACAGGAGGAGAATTCGTCTTGTATGTCATTTAGGCAGTCCTAATGAACGTACTTTTAGGATGTCTAGCCTAGGCAGTGGATGTCGTTGGCGCTCGGCTTGTTTGTGGCTTGCTTTACGGGATTTGCAACGATGCAAACTGCGAAAAAGGAAGGTGACAAATAGACGAGCACAAAGTTTGAGAGTCTTAGATCGTCACTAATGAAAAGTGTTAGTTGAATGAGGGCAGAAACAGAAAGTAAGATTGTGACCATTTCCATCCACTGTGAATCCAAGATGCAGGACTGAAATCATTTCTTTTTTCGACCTTGATAGGGAGAAATCTGCTACGATTAGGCGGAGTCCTGCTGACGATTACCGCAGGTACTTAAATAGCAACTAAAAGAATAACAGACGGACTGCATTCCTCTTATACATACAAGTAGAGCACAAACTTTTCGTCGATAATTTCTTGAAATCTAGTAAATGAAAAAAAAAATCCTGTTACGGAGAGTAAAATTTCAAGAGATCCACATAATCAAGAGTTGAAATAGAAAGACCCTCCGATTATGATCAATTTATAAAAAATAGCAAAGCACTTCATGTTGTTGCTACGCATCTTCTGTTTCTTGTATCCTCGCTATAGTACGCTTTGACATGTTCAAACACATGCCCCTATCTTATGGACGACTGCTATCTCTCCAGCCATCTGAAGCTTTACCTTAACACAAGGTGGCACAACTCAGTGACAAGAGTCCTATCGTGACTGCACTCTCTCTACTAAATGGTACGCGTGTTATGATCGGAATCTAAAAGTCAAGAGTTAGTAGCAAATACAGACAATCAAGAATTAGTGCAAACGTACCTAAGGATGAATCCACTCGACCTTCGTACAACACGGTATCGTCAGAACCAGTAGCCTTCATACTGTTTTCAACAGTGCGTTCAGTTAATGACAGGTTTGCATCACTTGAACCACGTGAGATGTCATTTACTGCATGCAACTTTTGCTGTTGCTGTTGCTGTTGCATCTGCGTCTTGCTTGAAGCAGCAATAGCTGCTGCTAATTGTTGCTGTTGTTGCTGTTGTTGCTGTTGTTGCTGTTGTTGCTGTTGCTGCTGCTGTTGTTGTTGCTGCTGATGTTGCTGCTGTAGTTGACGTTGTTGCATTTGCTGTTGCACTTGTTGCTGCAAATGCATTTGTTGCTGAGAAGAAGAATTTTGAATCATCGGATAGTACAATGCCTGTTGTGGTACAATTTGATTCCCCATCAATTGATACCCTGGCATACCTGTACTAAATGCACCATTAATTGCATTCAAAGCCTGAAATTGCTGAGACTTAAGCGATTGCCCACTTTGTGCCCGCATGTGTTGCATCTGTGCTTCCAATTGTACCTGAGCAGCTCGAGCTTGCGCATTTGCAATAGCTTGAGCTTGAGCTTGAGCATGAGCTTGAGCTTGAGCTTGAGCTTGTGCTTGAGCTTGAGCCTGAGCTTGAGCTTGTGCTTGAGCTTGAGCATGTGCATGTTGTCGCATTTGTGTATTTGCCAAATGTTGCATATTCAAACCTTGCGAAAGATGAGGAGGAAGTGCAAAAGACCCGGCCAAATATAAATTCGGATCAGCAAACATAGCCGAAGCTGCATGACTATTCTGAACTAATAATGCAGCAGCTTGTTGACTTGCAACGGATACTGAAGATGGCACTCGATTCGTAGTAGTTGAGATCATAGACGTTCTAGATGGTAACGAGGTATTACTTGTACTACTTGTGACAGTAACAGTACCAGTACTAGTTCCAGACGTCGTTGTTCCACTTGTGCGTTGACTAGGTGTACCACCTCCAGTAATAAGTAAAGCTGATGTCGTTCCTGCTCTCCTCATTGTTCGAAATTTATCTTTTAATTGCACATTTGATCGATCATTAAATTGTGGTCCCAATTCTTTGTCAATCAGAATCAATGACCATACATTACGTTGCCCATTGTATTTTTTCACTCCTTCTAATAATGCACGTTCTTCTGTTGCTGAAAATGGTCGATATTTTCGGTGATTCTTTCGATTTTCAGTATATGTTGCCAATTCTGGTCGTGTTTTTATTAATGTTCGCCATTTATCCTTTAAATCAACGCCACTGCGACCATGAAATAAATGACCAAGATGAGGATCACGTAATATAGAACTCCATGGACAACTGTCATCTGCATATCGCTGAACTCCCAATACCAAAGCAGTAACTTCATGTGGACAATATTTCCGTCGTTTACCTTTTACACGTTCTCCTACATTTTCACATGCAAATTCAGGAGAATTTCGAGGAAAAGTGTATCCACCTCCAGCAATTGAAGTTGCATTTGTTGTATTTGTAGCAACTGGTACAAGAGTGGTATTTGTACTTAATGTACCAGTTGCAGAACCAATGTTTTGTGGGTACTGCAACGGATGTTGGTGCATTTGAGTTTGATGTTGCATTTGTTGCATTTGTGCTTGCTGATGAAGTTGATATTGTTGTTGTTGTTGTTGTTGTTGTTGCTGAAGTTGTTGAAAATGCAATTGTTGCATATCGGCTTCTTCTTTAAGTTGCATTAAACGAGTTGCTGATGGCTGTGAAGTGGCAGGCACTATTTGCGCATCTGAAACAGCAACTGTACCTGTTTTTGCTGGTACGCGTGGCATCGTGTCGGCAAATAAAGCGTCCACAGACTGCAACATGAGTACAAGTAAATTAAAAGTCCAAAGTCACGCAACACTAAACACTTTCAAATGATCACCTTTGTCACTCCTTTTGCCCCTTTCCACTCAAAAATGTCGTTCCAGTCACCTAGACACTTTCACTCCCCTACTTGTTGATTGTGTGGTGCTAAACTGAGCGGTGAGATCACTAGACTCTTCTCCTTTTCTTTCTCTCTCTTTTTTTTTCTCTCTCCCTCTTGCCGTTTCACCCACACACTTGAATACACCAGATGCTACTAAATATACCGCAAAAAACCCTGACCACGTCCTACAGGTTCTGACCCTGAGATTGTAACGGGTTGCAACTTGTGGACTTCTATTTGGCAAGTTTCGCAAAGAAATGACAGTGTACGAAGAAGTTGTCTGTCTGGCACGTTTTTAAAAGTTGCAGAATTGCAATGTTAGTGCAAAACAGACAATTTGCTGGAAACAACTTGGTACAAATGTGCCATATTACCGTTCTTGCTCCTTTGAAAAGATAAGCGCTCTTTTTAAAACTTGGGTATAATTTGATTGCAGCTTTAGGGGAAGACGTGGCAGGAGTGAATGTTAATATACAGGATTGCGCGATGGAGAGAAACATTGTTCCTGGCAGCAATATTATTGCATACATTGCCGGCTAATTGTAGAGCTAAATCGTACCTAGAAAGATGTCCACGAGGTCGATAAAGTCGCACGAGTACAATCGCAAGACAATCGATTGACACACAACGTCGTTACTTCTACAAGTTGCCGCGCGAATTGAGTTGCCACGAGGGGTTTGAGCTGGAGCCGTGCGTTATGTAAATGCAAAGGGAGAAGGGGCCCCAATCACTGTATTGATATGTTACTGATGTTTTAAGAGACAGATACTTTAGTAAATGATGAAATTATTTTGATACAGAGAAAGAGAATTGATTGGAGGAGAAAAGGTAGGGAAGGGTGAGGGTCAGGGGAGTTCCTCTTGATACCGATTGTCGAGTTTAGCAGGGGCAAATGGCGTGTGGTATGTTGGCACTACGCAGAACAGTGGCATACATGGTACAGCTGGGAGATGGTCACAAAGATCTAGCGCAATTTTTAATTACAAAAACATTTTCATTTTAATTTAAATAATCAAGAAAGGCAATTGGCAATTCTCAAGGTTAATAGGAATAATATAATGAATTTTCATACATAATCGTGGCTTACGTTATCAAGAAGAATGAAAATGTGATGTTTACTTACATACGTCGTCGTACGCAATACATTTCAGTGGACGTACCAATGCTGCCAAATCCGACACATGAAACAGAAAGGACGGTACACTTGTACAAATCTTCTTGTTGTATAATCGGATAATCATCTAATTGTGGTACATGTGTCACGAATACTTAGCAAACGGGGCGGGTATGGTAGCCATCTTGCCACTTCAACTCGAACAAAAGTTTTACGGTACATACCATAAGAAATTGAGTCTATAAAGCTATTTCTTAAGCTCATTGCAGTTATAAAGATCGACAATTGATATCTACATTATGTTTCAAGTAGTGCTGCTTCACTTTGATGCTTCTTTTGTTCCGTAATGTCATGTTTTTACTCTTTGCTACATACCGGTATTCAGGTCAAGAATTTAGATCGTGGCTAGAATAATTAGTACGGTTTAGTGTTTTATCATCGCTTTAAATGGTACCCAGTAATTTTAAAGTTCAAATTTCGTTAAAAGAAGGCAGCCCTCCTCAACAAATATTCAAAAAGGCAAAAAAAAGACTGCATATTTGCTATTTGAAAAAAGTCCAGACTTTCCATCACAAAATGTCAAGACATTAAACCATAAAGACTGCTGATCATATTCAAGTGATTGATGACACATTTGTGATGGCGGACTATTTGATAATGACAAGATTTTGAAGAGACCATTCGCTGGCGGTAAATTCGCTCGTTAGACTGAAATCTATCGCAATTATAGCCGTGGATTAATGTCAATCTCAAAAATGCAACTAGTTTTTTTCTCAAGGGAAGACGACTATGTTCCACGTATTACGATTGTCAAATGGATATTGTAGTTTTGATATCATTTAAGAGAACTATTTTGAACCTACTTTGTCATGTATCTGACTTATCATTTATCAAAGTGAAGAAATCAACTACAAAAACTAAAATAAGAGATTCATTACGTGATATTAAGCAAGATGCTTCTGTGAAGCAAATTTTGCAACAACAGTATCGATAAAGTTACTTTGATGTATCTGTAAGAATTATCCGAGCAAAATTACCCACTTTGTAATGTAAAAGGTAACGAATGCACAAGTAAATTATTTTCTGGCAAGCTTATGTATGGGCTTCTGACACATTTATCGCGCGTATATTTGTCTGGCAAAAAGCCTCGTACAATAAAAGTTAAAGCTAATTTAATGAAATGGTGTTTGTGCAGCGAGATTACCGTGGCGTCTTGAAGCAGGGATGTTCTTGACTCGTGAAGCTCGCGTTGGTAATTGAGCAAACACATAGTGTGTATTGATTAATGTATTGCGGTATATATCATTCCTTTATTATCACTTTGATATCGTAGACACTGATCTTACTCACAGAATTCCACCACAGAACTTCACCACGATACAAGCTCAAGTATCATAAATCTTTTCTTTAGGTTCGAACGACAACAGTGCAAACGGGCACATGCCCCATTACAAGATTCCCAGTCCAGTTGGGATACAAACCAATCTAGATACATACAATCTTTGTTACGAAACATTTTTCTCAGCCCTTACACCTCAGGTGCGAGCTATGAGACCACCTCTTCACTCCTGATACCAATCGTCTTGGATGAAGAAGGCTGATAGTGAATACACCTCAGTGTAGCACGTACTGCATTGGAATCTTATGCCTTTACAGCATACAGACGAGGAGAGACGAGGTGTGACGGGTTGCCGTTCACGTAGGGTTCTTCGTACGAGCCTCTATCGCAACTAGTGTTTGGGTAGCTCGGCTATTTTAAGAGCTTCATAAACTAAGAATTGCTGCGATCTACGTTGATACTTGACAAATACGCTCCACTAACTCTCATATGAATAGTTTCTGACGCGCGGCTAGCAGTCCGTGTTTACCATGTCTCCTCCTTTTTGAAGTTTCATCATCATATATATAACGATACATTTGGTACTCATAATAATAGCAAAGTGCAATGTGAATTTGTACAACCGTACAAAATTGTATTCACACAAGTGTATAACATGTATGAAGTGCAAATGCGCAAGTTACTTTTCAACACCTTTCCTCGTTAAGATGCATACTACACTGGATTACGCACTTTGTCTTGTCCTTATACGAAATTGCGCAAAAGTAGCAGCTTCACGAGATAAAACAGCGCCTGATGTTTTTAGTTTACCCTTTGCTCTTAATTGTGCCTCGCCCTCAGAGCATACTTGCACCGAAAGTACACAAAAGAATGGTGTTATGAGCCTTAAGAAACGATCCTCGCGACGGATGCGCTAAAACGCGCCACAAGATTGACAAGGTAATATTCGACATGAACGGTCATTATGATTTCTGATTCCTTGTGAGATGACTCTGCCCTTAGCCCACGATACAAAGTTTAGGCAATCTGCGCGGACGTGGTTTTTAATGCGATTATCCTACACGCTGCACGTGTCTCTTACCCAATGCCCTTTTTCATTGGCGAGATTTGCTGAACGCCCGTCCGTGAGACGTTCGACGCTATCCAGATCGGAAGTCCTCCCCCCTCATGGATTCAAACATTTTTTACAGTAAGCGTCAGAGTCAAGTCAACTATCGCTCAAATGATCACATGGTAATTATGATTTCAAACTGAAATCTACACGTGTCTATGCAAACGGGTCTTCCGCTCGCATCGTGAGAGAAAGAGCCCGAAAATATTGCTTCACCGGCACTTCGTAATCAACACGTCATTGCTCTTCAGGAAAACCTCCTGCGCTTGAAACAGTGGTGGTTAGTAAAATCCCTATCCTTCTCTAGGAGGATACCTTGAGTATTTGAAGCTGGTGTGGGTGTGAAAAAGTATTAGCATCACGTCGCGCACCAGACGAAAAAGGGTAATATCTCATCTGCCCTGGAAATTTGCAAACCAGCTTCAGTAAGGTGTACGTCCAATTAAAGCGTCGACAAAAACTTGAGCTTGTAAAGTATAGAGCACGACACGAACGTCGAGACAAAAAGTCATCAGTCTAGCTCCTGTTGTTCAATGCCCCGCTCGTTTCCATGATACAGCTATTACATTAATCGACCAAATCCAAACTCACCACAAGATCAAACCTCAATCGGTAATGAAAGCGCGCTGCAACGGCGACCTTGCTTCTCCTCCATGAAAAAACAAGCGTGCGCCAATCATAACCAACCAGAAAACCAGGTTGGACTTGCCAAAGTGGTTATCGAGAGTCTCGTCGTGCATCCAAAAAAGATACACAATGTCTCATATTCGCTCTCTGTGCTTCATTATCGCATTCCTAGGCGTGAGTCGCTTCGAGCTGCTCAGACCACTTTTAAGCGGAGACTGACTCTGCTAGAGGGGATGGGCTCCGTTTGCGACAGACTATCCGACTGACGCATAATAGAGGGATCATAGTGTGGCCGATAGCCCATACAGGGCGCAGGATGTATGCACAATCTCGTTGGGATGCTTAGAATATAACTCAATCCTTTTTTCGCAATGACTGCGAACAGTTTGATGTAGCAAGGTCGCAATTTAGTCTTATCGACCACAAACACTTTATGTGTAGGCAATCAGTAAACCCTTTTGATCCGCAACATATCCATGCGTATTCCACCTACCTCACATGATTCCAGATTACATCCAAACAAAAACACTGAGTTTACTCCGAGATGTATTTGGGCTGAAATCAGCAAGTCGAATTTGATCGACAGGTCCTCTTCCACTAAGATCGGAGTTATTTTGTGGCGGCATCAAAGCGGTTTATCGAATCATTTGTTTAAATGAGGTTGAAGCCTGTAGCCGCATGTATTGCGTCATTCAGCGCAGATTTGACAAGTGGAGGCAATTCGCTCGAGCGCTGTGGTCTCTCAGCGTAAGTGGATCGAAGAGTAGCCTCCGTAACGCGGCTTTTGAGTTCTGTCTGAGCTTCTGTTAGCAGATTACCAGCGATTAACCTGTACAATTTGAAGCCGAGTCTTTCTCCGATATTATGTCTACGGGTAGGCCATGTTGACAAAGCAATCTACCAAGGAACTGCTTGGCTGGATCCTCTCCGAGCACAGTTTCGCTAACTGTAGTGGGGTGAGCCTTCTTGTCCAGACGGCGAACAAATATCACAATGCCAGCATTGCCGCACGAGTTCTTGAGGATTCAAATCGTTAGAGCTCTTAGTCAAGTTACCGTGCGGCGGTGCGCTTGATTAAGCGACAGCTAAGTATTCAAATCCTTTGCTTCTCAAATATCTTAACAACGAAATAAAATACCAAGGCATCTAACCATAAATTGCATTTATCGTCTCACTAACTAACGACGCTCTTTATAGTCGGAGCAATATGAATTTGCGTCTGTCTCACATCATACCAAGCCGGCTAATACCTTACCTCAGATACAGACATATTATCGTGCAATTTTTTGCGAGAGATGCGATGACGACG